GCAGATGCGAGGAAATCCAAGGTAACGTGGACCGCAATGAATGGAAGAACTTTGCTGCGATCAAGGCTGTCTACAGTCCTACAGTCAAAGGCACAGCTCCTTTTCTCAGCGCAGATGGAACTACCCCACTCACTGAGAAGACAGATTCTGCAACGCTGAGCTGAGCATTTCCAAAGCGTACTCAACCGTCCCTACACCACCACCGACCGTCTGCCTCACGTAGAAATCAACACTGATCTCGACCTTCAACCCAACCGTCAGGAACCCACCAAGGCTGTGTAGCAACCCTCCAGTGGGAAAGCGTCCGGATCCGATACGATTCCTACGGAGATTTACAAATAAAGCGGCCACCAACTTACCTCCCACCTAACTACGCTCTTTCGAGAGATGTGGCGACAAGGTCAAGTGCCCCAGGACTTCAAGGACGCCACAATTGTTCACTTCCATAAGCGAAAGGGGAACCGCCAACTCTACGACAAATCTTCGCTCGTGTTCTCCTAAACCGTCTCAACAACCACCGGGAACAAGGACTACTGTCCGAAAGCCAGTGTGGATTTCGTCGTCATCGTGGCACTACCGACACTACGTTCGTCGCACGACAGCTGCAGGAGAAGTTCCAGGAGATGCGCACTCACCTCTACACCACTTTCGTGCATCTAACGAAAGCGTTCGGCACGGTGAATCGTGCTGGACTTTGGAAAGTCATGCAAAAGTTTGGCTGTTCTGAGCACATCACCCACATGGTACATCAGCTCCATGACGCAATGGTGGCGTGCGTCACGGACGACGGAATGGTCTCTGAAGCCTTTGCAGTGACCAGTGGAATGAAGCAGGGCTGTGTCTTTGCGCCTACCCTCCTCAGTCTCATGTTCTCTGCCATGCTAATGGATGCCTACCGTGACGAGCGCTCCGGGATCCGCATCAGCTGCAGAACGGACGGGCGCCTCTTCAACATCCGATATATGTAAGCCCCCACGCGCGTCCCCATGACCACAGTTCATGATCTGCTTTTCGTTGACGACTGTGCTCTCAACACCACCACAGAAGCGGACATGCAAAGGAGTATGGAATTCTTCGCTGCCGGTCGCGCAAACTTCGGTGTTACCATCAACACCGATAAAATGGTGGTCATGCACCAACAGTCGCCCGGTGCTGATTACGCTGCTCCACTTATCGAGGTCAGCGGTGCCGAGCTCAAAAACGTGGAGACTTTGACCGTCTACGCCAACCAAGCTCAGAAGCTGAACCATTTCTATCTCAGCTGTCTCCATCAGATACTGAAGTTGGGATGGCAGGACAGGATCCCGGACATGGAAGTCCTGGAACGAACGGGAATTCTCAGCACCCAGGCAGACAACTGCCCTGAAGCGGCCATCTGGTACGGATGGACGACCAACGACTACCAAAGCGACTGTTTGACGGCGATGTCACTATGGATGCTCGCCACAAAGTAGGACAGACGAGGCGATTCAAGGACACTCTGAAGAACTCTCTGAAGCGTCTTAAAATCAACACTGCGGCTTGGGAGGAACTCGCGCAGGACCCATCTGCTGGGCGAAGAACGGTAAAAAAAATGGCACAACAATCTACGAAACCAG